AATTTCATGGTGATATCTTGAACACTGAGGAAGTTATGAACAAAAATAGAAAACAGCAAGGTGAAATGGTCACATTGGTTCTTCTGTGAACTGCAGCAAGAAAACATGAGCTGATTTCACCTAAACAAACATCAGTAACTTCTAATAGGGATGTGGATAAATTTTTAATCCTACACCAATATTAAATCTGACAGCAGATTCCAAAAGAACATTTCAAACCACTCAAAATAACACCAAAAACCATGTGATTATCTGAAGTAAGAGGGAAGTTACTGATGTTTGTTTAGGTGAAATAAGCTCATGTTTTCTTGCTGCAGTTCACAGAAGAACCAATGTGACCATTTCACCTTCGTTTTCTATTTTTGRTCATAACTTCCTCAGTGTTCAAGATATCGCCATGAAATTTTAGGAAAAGATTCACATTTTGTTTTTGTAGGAAGCATCTTGTATCCTTAAAAAACTAATAAAACTTAATAATAGCCAATTCAAAAGTAGCAGAAAAGTATAAAATAACATTACAAGACAAACTGTAGCATCAACTTAATGTGTCTTAGAAAGTAAGGAAATTCTTCTCATCTTTTAAACAAAGCTCCTCAACCAATGACAGCGAGTTAAATGTGTCAGGTGACGAACACAAGAGTCAAAACACTTTGCAACAAGCGCTGTTCAAGATATAAAAAAAACATACTTCAACTTTTCAAATCATGATCAAATTTGGAACAAGGGCAGATAAAAACTCGGGAGATTTACTTTGATCCTATTTTCAAAAAAATGTCTCTTCAAAACACATCAACAAATATTAAAAACTGGAAGACGAGGCTGTAGCTAACTAGCTGACGGCAGCCCGATTTGTTGAAATTCGTAGAAATAACGAAGCAGGAGGAAATTACAAGCAAACACACAGAGCAGCCTCGCAAAATCTGGTCACAGTAGTTTGGGAAGAAAATGGCAGCAGCTGTTGACGACTTGTCATACTTCAGATAATCACATGATTTTGGTGTTATTTTGTATGGTTTGAAATGTTCTTTTAAAATCCGCTGTCAGGTTTAATATTGGTGTAGGATTAAAAATGTATCCACATCCCTATAAATTGCTAAGAAGTGCCTACGTGCTGTCACTCGAGGAAGGAGCGAACGCTAGCTCAACAAGGTCACATTCAACCCATGATTATTTGTTCTACAGCTGAATTAAAATAGACAAAAAGCTCAAATATATTTATCTTTAACACCAACCTGAATCCGCGTCATGCCCACCGGCAGTAGCAGAAAACTGACGCCGGGTTTGAGTCAAAGAAGACTTCCACAACATTTGAGACAATCGTCCGAACGCCGCCATTTTGCTTTCTGGTGGAACTTTCTTCTTCTTSTTCTTTTGTTTCAATGGCGGTTGGCAGACTGTTTTAGTGCATTACCGCCACTGCTAGACTGGATGGTGGAACTGGAGAAGGCAGGCAAGAAGGGGGAAAAAAAAAACTATATTCGACTAAATAAACCTGTTGATTTCAAAAATAAAATTATTTTACTGTATATGGTGGCAGATTTATCCTCCAAAAGCAGTGATAATGTAAAGTTCTGCTGTTTTCCGTTACTTAATGAACTAAAAGTTTATCTCTGAGATGTTTGTATTTGTTACAATGAATCAATTCATGTTCCACTGTCTCTGACTGATTACATTATGATCATGTTCTTGTTGGATGTTTACCCATTCTATACAGAGTGCTGTTTAAACCTGAGTGTTCTACTGTAAGCCGAGTAAAGACATTTTCTTCTTTCCTYTTCAATCTTGTTTTCCTTCCTAGCCCTACAGACAGGAGGTCTCAGGTAGGACAGAGGGTCTCAGGTAGGACAGAGTGTCTCAGGTAGGACAGAGGGTCTCAGGTAGGACAG